CCGCGGACCGGTACCGGTCCGCGGACCGGTGGTTGGGGACCCCTGGTCTAGAGGAAGGAGAAGGGCAATTTCTGAATGAGGGAGATAGGATACAGGGATGGATGGAGTGAACACAGAGAGAGAGAGAGGGAGATGAAGAAAGACAGACTATGTATATACACACACACATTTACACACATACACACACCAAGAGAAGAGGTAGGTAGGTAGGTAGATAGATACAGACAGACAGACAGACAGACAGGATTGATAGACAGACAGACACTGTAGGTAGATAGATAGGAAGGTAGGTAGGTAGATAATGTACTCTGACAATAAAGATTGATTTGAGATAGGTAGGTAGATAGGTAGGTAGGTAGGTAGGTAGGTAGGTAGGTAGAGGGATAGGTAGAGGGATGATGGAGTGAATAGATAGAGGGAGGTATAGGTGAAGACAGACAGACTACACACACACACACACACACACACACGAGAAGACAGGCAGGCAGACAGACAGATATAGTTGGATGGATGGATGGATGGATGAACAGAGACAGAGAGAGACAGATAAAGTAGGTGGATGATGTCGATACAGAGAAAGAAACAGATACGGTGAATACAGATAGAGAGAGGAACCAGGTGAGGAAAGATAAAAGACAGACAGACAGACAGACAGAGGAAAGAAAGAATCTGCTGCGGAGGCTGGTTTGGAAACTCCGTCCCCCAGGCGCCAGGGGGTGTCCCAGGGCTGGGAGAAAAACGCCGGGTCCGTTTCCACTTGCAGCAGGCTCTTCCTGCTTGCTTCCCCTCCAGGCTGGGGAGGGGAGGGACTATTTGCATGCCGCCTCTCCGCCGACAAGTTGGAGCCCAGCCCAAACTCCTACCCCCCCCCACCAAGGAGGAACCCACCGCCCCCCCCCCCCTCTTTTCCCCTCCCCGCTGCCGCTATGGAAACAAGGGGGGGAGGCCCCTCCGTGCTTCTTGAACTCGCTGGGAGGAAGCCCTGGGGGGGGGCCTTGGCAAGGGAAGTGCCCGCCGGAAAGGGGGGGAAAGGCCGGTGCCAGCATCCGTGGATCAGTGCCAGCGTGTCCCGCCCGCAGCTGCAATGGGCCCAAGGAGGCGCCCGGCCTTCCCGAGGGAAGGTGCCCGCAGCCGCCCTGGAACATGGAAGGGCTTATCCCCACTTCAGCCAGCCAGTCCTTGCGGGGTGTGTGTGTGTGTGTGTGTTGTCGTTTCAATAGAAGATTGACTCAGATTGACTCAGCCTCCCACCCTTCGGGGGGGGAGGGGGGACCGGGGTGGGGGGGGGGGGGGGGGAGAGAGAGGCCGACTCTAAACTGCTTAGACGGCTGCAAAGCCCTGTGAAGCGGTATATAAGTCTGAGAGCTATAGCTATTCTTCCTCCCTTCTCTCCCCCTTTCCCCTTCTTTCCTTCCTCTCCCTACCTTTTCCCCCATCCATCTTCCCTTCCCTTCCTTCCTTCCTTCCTTCTCCCTCCCTCCCTTCCTGCCATGGTGGCGGATTGGTTAGAAGGCAGTATTGCAGACTAATTCTACCCACTTCCAGCAGTTTTTGATCTTTCCTTTCCTTTCTCTTCCTCCCTTTCCCCCTTAATTTCCTTCCTTCTTTCCCTCCTGTTTCTCCTTCCCTTCCCTTCCTTTTCTCCCTCTCTTTCCCCTTCCTTCTTTCCCTCCCTCCCCTTCTTTCGCTCTTTTTCCCCTTCCTTCCTCTCCCTCCCTTTTCCTCTTCCATCCCTCCCTTCCTTCCTGTTTCTCCTTCCTTTTCTCCCTTCCCCCTTCCTTCTTTCCCTCCCTTCCTCCCTTCCCCTTTCCCCCATCCTTCTTTCCTGTCCTTCCTTCCTCCCCCCCCCCTTTCTTCTTTCCCTGTCCCTTTTCTCCTTCCTTCCTTCCTTCCCTTCTTTCTCTCTCCCTCCCTTCCTGCCACGGTGGCGTAGTGGTTAGAAGGCAGTATTGCAGGCAGTTCGATCCTGACCGGCTTAAGGTTGACTCGGCCTTCCGTCCTTCCAAGGTTGCTAAAATGAGGAGTCAGATTGCTGGGGTCTGTAAACTGCTGAGGGAGGAGGGCTGTGAAGCACTAGGAAACGGTATATAAATCTAAGCGCTACTGCTAGATTTTCTTAAGATTTATAATGCACTCCCCCTCTCACTTTAAGATTGAGGGGAAGAAGAAAAAACACAGAAAGAAAATAAAAAGGTGTGGTCCTTTCAGAGGGTTTTTTTTTTTGTCTACTGCAGAAGGACCAGCTGTGCTTTTCCCAGGGTTATTTCCTTACAGCTGTGGGGAGCCATTCTTTGTCTTCCAGAGAGAAGGAAAGGAAGGGTGTGTGTGTGTGTGTGTCTGTGTGTGTGTCTATCCGGACACCCCAAACCTCTTTACCTTCCGGCGCACGGTGCAGCGGTGGCACATCCATTCCCCGGGAGGCAGCATCTCCTCGCTCAGTGGAGGGTTGCTGTGGGAGGAAACAAGAATCACAAGTGAGTTGTGTGCACGTCCTGGAACCTCTGCAAAGGGTGCTGAGAATCGACCCAGGCCAGGGGACAAGCAGGTGCGGGATTCAATTTTTTTTAAACAACCGGTTCTGTGGGCGTGGCTTAGTTGGTGGGCGTGGCTTGGTGGTCATGTGACTGGCTGGGCGTGGCCAACTCAACATCACTCACATCGAGGCACGCATCTCCTCGCCTGGCCGCTCATGACTGTGGGGATGCTGCAACCGTCGTAAGTGTGAAAAAGGGTCATAAGTCACTTTTTTCAGTGCCATTGTAACTTTGAATGGTCACTCCATACAAGCAAAGTACCAGCAAAGGAGGGGGAAAAAACTCCAGAGAAGTTCCTGAGACAGGAAGTCTAGTCCTGCCAAGAATGTAATAAGGGTTAACGGAGAGGCAGTTTCTGTAAGCAACACCAGAATGTTTCCTTCCTGCCTTCCTTACAGGATTAGCCCTGCAATTTCTTCTAACAATCGGTTCTCAGAACTGCTTAGAAGGTTAACAACCGGTTCTAGCGAATAGGTGTGAACTGTTAGAATCCCACCCCTGGATGCAGGCCCTTCCACCTGACTGCTTCTGGCTCCTGCTTGGATCCTCCGGCTTTGGGCACTTTGATATTTCCCTCCTTCGCCCAGGAGAGAGGAATTCTCCCCATGTTTTTTTTTTTAATTATTCATTGGTATCCGGCCTTTATTATTACTCTGTTTTTACAAATAACTCAAGGCGGCGGACATGTCCAACATAGCTCTCCTCTTTTCTCCAGCCTGTGAGGCGGGCTGGGCTGAGAGAGAGGGGATTGGCCCAAAATCACCCAGCTGGCTTTCCTGCCTAAAACAGAACTAGAATTCACTGGCTCCTCATGGTTGACCCAACGTCACCCAGCCCTCTTTTGTACCTAAGGCGGGACTAGAACTCACTGTCCCCTGGTGATTGGCCCAAAGTCACCCAGCCAGCTTCCATACCTAAAACAGAACTAGAATTCACTGGCTCCTCGTGGTTGACCCAACGTCACCCAGCCGCATTTCAAGTCTAAAGCAGGACTAGAACCTGTCTCTTGGTGATTGGCCCAAAGTCACCCAGCCCTCTTTTGTACCTAAGGCGGGACTTGAACTCACGGTCTCGGGTTTTCTAGTCCAATGCCTCAACCATTAAACCAAACGGTTCCTCTATCAGAAACTTCCAAGGGGCCTGGATTCTTTTCTCTGTACAGCCCATGGATGCTGCTACCTGGTTTGCTCCTTTCCCAGAGTCCCCTCCCAAGCATGCGTGTGGTCACAAGGGCATCCTGGGACGGGTCACCTTAAACCTCTTGTTAATGACCAAAGGCATCTCACCAGGGGTGGGCTTCGAAAATGTCAGCCATGGGTTATCTGCCCGGATGCTGGGAGGGCGTGGCCATGGTGGGCGTGGCCTAGTTGGCCTCCTGCACCACGGCTGGGCTGGGCTGGGGCGTTTTTGCCCTTCCCGGGCTCCGGAGGCTTCCCTTGAGCCTCTGGGAGGGTGAAAACAGCCTCCCCCAGACTCCGGAGGCCAGAAATGGGCCCATTTCCAGACTTCCAGGAGGCCTGTGTTTCACCTTCCCCAGACTCCGGAGGCTTTGCTCAAATCTCTGGGACATAGAAAACAGTCTCTCCCGGGCTCTGGAGGCCGGAGATGGGCCTGTTTCGAGACTTTTGGAAGACCTGTTGTTCCCCCTCCCCAAGCCTCCACGCGGGCCCTGCACTCTACTTGCACCCAAAACAGGCTGCGTGGAGACTCCTGGGAGAGGAGGGGCAGGCAGGTGGGGCCAGCCAACGAGGCCGAAAACGGGCAAAAAAACAGGGTGAAAAAGGGGTCCCAAAACAGACAGCAGAGTGCTGCAGGAGGCCATGGAGGGTGAAGACGAGGTGCGGGGGGGCGCACACAGACTTCCCGTGCCCCGTTTTGGCTGATAGAGTGCTACAGGAGGCATCTGTGGTCCCCACACCCCGGCCAACAGGGGAGAACTACAATGCTGATCCGGCCTTCAAAGAAATCCAGTTCGATACCCCTAGACTAGACCAAGTAGGTAATCCTCGGCTTACAACCACGATGTAGTCTGTGTCAGCTTTGGAAGCCATATTGAGATGAGATGCTACCACAA